GGGGGACCCGGGTGCTGGTGTCACCCCCCTGCCTGCGGCACGTGCCGGCCCCGGAGCGCGGGGACACGGCGGGCGACAGCCCCGTCCCGCGGGAACGCTGCCCTGGGGATGCCCCAGGGACCCCCCGGGGCTCCGGGGGCACAGCGTGGCGGGGACCCGCATCCCGGGAAGGGGCTGTCGGGATGTCGGGGAGAGCCCGCTGACCCCTGCCGGCCCCTGCGGCTCTTTGAGGCCCCCTCCCCGGCCGGGTCTGGCTGTTGGCCCCGGCGTGGCCGAGGGGTTGATGCTCCGGTTCCTCACCCCAATCCCCTTTCTGTCCCCCAGGCCATTAATCGGAGAGGACCGGGGATTTCAGGGTGATTCTGCTCACCCCCTGTGTCCCCCGGGCAGGGGGGTCGGGGGGCTGCGGTGCCGCCGCTGCCCTCGCTGTGCCCACGGCGGGAGGGAAGGATGGGGGGGTCCGGCCCTGCTGGGGCAGAACCTTCCAGAAACACTGCAGCGTTTTGGGGTGGCAGGATGGGATTTGCGGGTTCCTGTTGAATCCCCTTAGCATCCTGGGGAGGGGCTGTCCCTGCTGGACGGGCTGCCTGGGTGTTGGTGCCCCAGGCATGGCCAACACCATCTGCTTCCCCCCGGCTCAGCATCCCGAATCCTTGAGAGCCCGCAGGTTGCACCCCCGGAGCAGGCAAGTCGTCCCCCAGATCAGGGGGCTGGAGCACCCCTTGGGTTCCCCCCACCCCTGGGTGCAATCCCTGGGATGAGCTGGCTCGGCCCACGGAGGTTTTCGGGTGCCGGGGGAAGGCGCTGAGCGGCATTCCCATCCATTCCCATCCATTCCCACCGGCAGGCATGCCAGCAGGAGGGGCAGGAGCTGATCTTCTCCCTGCCTACGCAGCGCGTACAGAGGGAGCCGGGGAGGGGAAGAATTAGGCTGACAAATCCTCCTTCCTCTCCAGTTTGGATCTCCAACCCCAAATCCACTTGGATTGGTCAGGAGGTTGAGCTGCAGGAGCTGATTTACCACCTGACACGCCAAAAGCCCATTTCTGCTGATTCCTTCTGCGCGCCCCACTTTTCCTGGGAGCCACCGAGCCCTGCAGTGGGAAGAGCTGGAGGAAGCAGCTCCGTGGAGGAAACAGCAGAGTTGGTGGCTGTTGGCACCACTGATCATCCCTCCTGGCTCTTCCCAGCCAGCACCCAGCCAGAGCAGCCACTGCCCCACGTGGGATGCCTGGCCAGTGGCTCGAGGGTGGTTTCCTGGTGGCTGGGAAGCTCTGTGGTGGTCCTGGTGCAGCAGAGCCCACCTTGGTTGGCACCAGGGACCCCTCGCACCCTTCCTGGCACCCCGTGGTCCCATCCAACCCCTCTGCAGCATCCCAGTGTGCTGGGGCAGCCCAGTCCCTCTGCCATCCCATTCATTCCCCCAGACGAAGCCGTAGGATCTGGGAGCGGGACAGGGATCTCCACTGGGAAGATAAGAAGCCCTGGAAGGTGGCCCAGGGCAGGAGACTCCTGCTTCCTGGATGTTGTTTAGAGAGCAAACTCTGGTAATAACAGCAGGATCCAGACACATCCCGGATCCCACAGCCAAGGCGTTTCCTTGCCAAGGAAGTCGGTGGAGCTCCGACCTGGGTGGGGGATGCTGCTGCTGAGCCTGGCAGGGGGTAGATGGATGGATGCAGCCGGGAGGGATGGATGCAGGATGCAGGGCTGGGCCTGTGGGATGCTTTAGCTTTGGGATGGGCTGGCACGATGCTCCGGGCTCGTCCCGGCGTGGCTGGCACGGAGCCACCGGCCGCCACCGCGGGGTTGTGCTGGAGCGTCTGATGTGGTTGCTGGCGGCTCCTTATCCCTGGAGGTCCCTTCTAACGTGGCTCTGGCTAATTAGAGCCGCCCGCCAGCCTTGTTAGTGTGAGAGCCGGTGAAAACCCCGGTCCCTCCGCCCCGGGTTCAAAGGCAATCGATGGTGTTGCCATCAGACCCCGCCCCGGTGCCCAGGGGAATCAAATCCTCATAAATCTTCCCGACCGAGATCCAGTGGACCCCACTCAATTATTGGCCACCTAATAAAGCCATCGTTAGCCCTGGCCGGCTGCCTAACGAGCTCATTAAGGGATGGGATCCATGGCAGGGAGAGGGCAGGAGAGTGGAATCTGGCTGTGCGGCAGCGTGCCAGGGTCTCGGGGGGCACGGGCCCTGCCAGCCCGTGGCGTGGGGCCCCAGGTCCCTGATGGGCAGCGGCGGCCGCCACTTCCTGCCTCGTGTCTCCAGTGTTTCGACACCAGGAAGGGCTGGAGGGGGAGGGATGGCTTCACGCTTCCTCCTTCCCTCCCTCCGGATCCGGTGGCGGGCGAGGGTCACCCCCCTGGCAGCAAGGGGCCACCGTGTCCCCACGTGCCCCTTCCCTTCCCTCAGGGGTGCTCCTGGAGACACCTGGCCCCCGGGATGTGAATCTGGGGAGATCCGAGCTCCTGCACCCATGGGGTGGGGCCAGGCAGGGCTGCTGCACCCACGGCGTGGGGCCCAGGCTCTGTGGGGCTCCTGCACCCGTAATAGGGAGCTGTGTGGGCATCCCATACCCCCAGTGCGGGGCTGCGTTGGTCTTGAATTCTGTGAAGCTCCTGCACCCATAATATGAGGCTTCTGCATCCCTGGTGTGGGGCCATGTGGGACTCTTGTGCCCACGGTGTGGGGCTGTGCAGGCCTTGGGCTGTGTGTGGCTCCTGCACCCCCAGTGTGGGGCTGTGTGTGGCTCCTGCACCCCCAGTGTGGGGCTGTGTGTGGCTCCTGCATCCCCAGGATGTGGGGCTGAGTGTGGCTCCTGCACCCCCAGGATGTGGGGCTGTGTGTGGCTCCTGCACCCTCACTGTGGGGCCTTGCAGGTCTCAGGTTCCTGCCCGGCGTGGGGCAGTGCCAGGCTCAGCTTCCCGCAGCGCCCGCCATCGATCTGCTCTCTCCAGGTTCATTAGTGGCTCCATCAGTGTCCCGAGGGCTGGGAAGGAGCATCGCCCCGTCCCGGGGGGCTGGAAGGCGGCACCCGACGAGCCTCCAGCCTTGGACGCCTTTTCCGGGGCTTCCCGGCACAGCTGGGGTTGGGATCCGGCGTGCTGGATGCTCTCCGGGGTCTCCCCTGCGTCTGGGCTGCTGGGGAGGTGTGGGGTGACGGGCTGGCAGGGGATGTTCCCCATCCTGCTTTTCTGTTCCGCCTCCATAATGGCCCGGGAAAACCCCGCCGTGGGTTGCTCTGGGCTCTCAGGAGGATGCACCCATCACCCTCCATCCCCAGCTCTGGAGGCTGGCTGCTCTGATCTCCCGAGGCCTTCAAACCCAACTGTGGGGTGCTGATGCCCTTCTGTGGCAAGTTGGGCCCTCTGTCCCCCCAGTTTTTTAACTGGAGCAGCATTGCAATGAGTTCCATCTTTCCTCGCACCCTCGCCGCGGTGCCCGTAAACCCTCGTGACAAACATCCCACCGTGGAAGTGCCGTCCCATCTCGGCTGGGAAAAGTCAACCCCCACCACTCTGCAAGGAAAAGCCGCCTGGGAAGGGCCAGTGGGATGTTCCTGGCGTTCCCAGGGGGTTGGCTCAGCCAGCGGGGTGTCCCAGTGTTCTATGGGCCTGGCGGAGCGTTCCTGAGGCTCGTCTGGGGGTGAGGGAATAAGGGGGACCCAAAACCACGTGCTCACTTATCTGGGCTGGATCCTGCTTCCTGGGCAGAGCTTGGCCAGGCCACGCTGGGCTCCACAGCTCTCCAGGGGGCGGGATGTGGGGACGTGGGGATACAGGGATGCGGGAACGCAGGGACACACGTAAAGGGATGCTGGGATGTGGAGAGGCAGGGACACAGGGAAGCAGGGACACAGGGTTTCAGGAATATGGGGATGAGGGGCGTGCCCACGCATCTCCTGGTGCATCCCAGCCCATTGCCAGGGTGATGGTCGGGTGGTCACCCCGGAGTGGCACCCTCTGGGCCGGCTGTGGGCAGCGGGGTGGCCGAGGGCCCATCACCCCGGAGCAGCCCCGGGCGTTTTGGCAGAGCCCAGCAGCTGCCCTGGGAAATTGTTTTTTTCCAGCCTGAACCACCCCTGCTAATCTTCCCGGATGGTTTTAATGGAATTTAAAGGCGAGGAGGGATTATCCGAGGAGAACCCATTACGGGTGGCTCCGTGCCAGGGCAGGCTCTGAGATCCAGCAGCGCCGGGCGAGGGAGCCCTGCCTGCCTCTGCCCGCTCCCTGCCTGCAGCAGGCGGGCTGGCAACGCTCCGGCATTCCCACCGGTGGCATGTTGGACCCATGTCCCGCTCCCCTGTCTCTGTGGGATCTTGCAGAGGGAATTTGGGGGGTGTCTGGGGGCTGTTCCCATGGGATGGAGGATGAGGGTGCACTAACCCCCCTTTGCTGTTTTGCAGGGTGTTTAAGAAAGCCAGTCCCAACGGGAAGGTAAGGGGCACACGGCAGGGGCAGCCCTGGGGGGCACAGGCATGGCCGGGGGTGGGGACAGGTCCCTGCACCCCAAAGCTGCCCTGCCGTGGCAGCGGGAAGGGAGACTGAGGCACAGTGGGGCTGGGGGGGCTTGTCCCAGGTCGGGGTTGAGTAGATGGGTTTTGGGGTGTTGGGGTGCAGGCAACCCCGCGTGTGGGGTTTTGGGTCTGGCAGCAGGGGCTGACGGCACCAGCCTGGCAGCTGCCTGCCCCGTGCCTCAGTTTCCCCATCAGGAGAAAGGTGGGAGGGTGGCACCTGGGGGCTCATCTCTGTCCCACAGGCCCCTAGGATACCACCCAAGTGTCCCCAGACACAAAGTTTCTCCAGCTCTGGGGACAGCTGGAGGGGTTCCAGGCTTTGCCTGGGATGGGGGGGGGTTGGCTTTTGGGTGCCAGAGGGACAGGGTGACACATGGGGATCACGGGGAACACGGACCTCAGTGGGTGGTTGACTACATGGGGGGACCCTGGGGGGCTGCTCTGGACACCCCTGACCCCCTGTCCCCCCCACAGCTCACTGTCTACCTGGGGAAGAGGGATTTCGTGGATCACATCGACGTGGTGGACCCCGTGGGTATGTGGGGGCAGGAAGGGGGGAGACACACGTGCTGGGGTGGGCTGGGCCTGTCTGGGAGGAAGGATTTTGGGGAGCAGAAAACAGCTGGTTTGGGATAATATTCATGTCCCCTTGTGGCTTTGCACGTGCCCTGGGTGTGGTGGGTGCCAACTGTCCCCCTGCTGCCAGTGTGTCCCTCCCCAGCCCCAACTGGCAGCTTGGAGGTGATGCCTCTCTGTGTAAAGGAGGGGCAAGTCCCCCCTTAACCCTGCTAGTGTCCCCCCAAACCTTGCCTATACACCCCCCCCAACCCTACCAGCGTGTCCCCTGACCCTGACAGCGTGTGTGTCCCCTCCCAACAGTGTCCCCTGACCCTGACAGTGTGTGTGTCCCCTCCCAGCAGTGTCCCCTGACCCTGCCATCATGTCCCCTAACCCTGCCACGGTATTCCCTGGCCCTGCCAGTGTGTCCCCGCGTCCTGGTGACGTGTCTCTGACCCGGCTGTTCCCTTGCAGACGGAGTGGTGCTGGTGGATCCCGAATACCTGAAGGAGAGAAAAGGTAACAGCTCCCCTCAGGATCGCTGGGGCCACAGAGGGGTGGCTGGTGCCCTCACGTAGTCCTACCCAGGCATTGGCATCTCTGGGCTCGTGGGTGACGTTTCCCAGCCCCGTGTCCCCACGGAGGGTGCCCTGTCCTGTGGAGGACGGGAGTGCCATGGTGGGCACCCCAAGGCTGCTGCATCGCCACGTCCCCACCACGGCACGTCCTCAGGCCACCACTGCTTCCCGGCGCCGGTGGGGCCGGCACGAGCCCCCCCGGATCTCCCCGTGGTGCTCCCCACCGCGGTGCCCCCCTGGATCCCCCCGTGGTGCCCCCCACCACGGTGCCCCCCCGGCAGCACCCTGCCCTTGTCTCCCCGGCAGTGTTCGTGACGCTGACCTGCGCGTTCCGCTATGGCCGCGAGGACCTGGACGTGCTGGGGCTCACCTTCCGCAAGGACCTGTTCGTGGCCAACTCGCAGGCCTTCCCGCCCGTGCCCGAGGAGAAGAAGCCCCTGACGCGGCTGCAGGAGCGGCTCATCAAGAAGCTGGGCGAGCACGCCTACCCCTTCACCTTCGAGGTGAAGCTCCCGGGGCTGGAGGGGACCGTGACCCCTGCCCCGGGGACGTTTCCTGCCTTCCAGCCTGGGCAGGAAAGGGAAGTGCTGGCAAGCCCCCCAAAAGCTCCTCACCCCTCTTTCCCCTCCAGATCCCCCCCAACCTGCCTTGCTCCGTCACGCTGCAGCCGGGCCCGGAGGACACGGGGAAGGTAAGGTCCCTCATGTTCCCGTGCCTGGCTCTGGTGGGTGGCTGCTCTTGGGGAGGTGCAGAGGAGTTTCCCTGCCTCCTTCTCCCCCCTTCCTGGTTCCCAGGCCTGCGGGGTGGACTACGAGGTCAAAGCGTTCTGTGCTGAGAACCTGGAGGAGAAGATCCACAAGAGGTGAGTGGAGAGGGTCTGCCCAGCCCGGGTGGGAGCGGCATCCCCGGGGTGCTGGCAGCAGGAAAGGGGCACCCTGCTTTGTTACCCACCTTGGGAGGGATGGCGCTGGGATGGAGGTGTCCTCCAGGATGCACCCGCTCTCCAGGGCGGTGCTGGGTCAGAGATGATCCTGGGGCTGGGATGGAGACACTGTGCAAGGAGCCCGGTGGTTGCTGTGGGCAGCCTGGCCCGGCCATGGGGTTGTCCCCTTGCAGCCCTGGTGGGCATCCATCTGAGGCCTCCCGCAGCATCCTGACACAGCAGACCAGAAGAAAAGAGGGATTTCACCCAAAATGGGCCAAGAAAGGGTGGTCTGCGAGCGCCTGGCTTCTCCCCTGGCTGTCTCCTGCAGGAACTCGGTGCGCCTGGTGATCCGGAAGGTGCAGTACGCGCCGGAGCGGCCTGGCCCCCAGCCCATGGCAGAGACCACCCGGCAGTTCCTCATGTCGGACAAACCGCTGCACCTCGAGGCCTCCCTGGATAAGGAGGTGGGCGAGGACCGCGGAGGGGACGCTGGTGGGGTGACCCTGGGGGGGGAACCTCACCTTCCCCCTGCTCTGCTGCCCTGCAGATCTACTACCACGGGGAGCCCATCAGCGTCAACGTCCACGTCACCAACAACACCAACAAGACCGTGAAGAAGATCAAGATCTCAGGTGAGGAGCAGGGCCACCCCCTGCCCCAGTGGTGTCCCTGTCCCCATCCCTGTCCCGACCCCCCTGTCTCTGTGTCTCGCCCCAGTGCGCCAGTACGCCGACATCTGCCTCTTCAACACTGCCCAGTACAAGTGCCCCGTGGCCGTGGAGGACGCTGAGTGAGTGACGGCTCCTTGGGGACATGAGGGGCCCCGGAGACCTCAGGGGGCCCTTGGGGGAGCCTTGGAGATCTCCCGTCCCGGTGCAGCCCCGGTGGGACATTGCACTCAGCAAGCAGGAACTGATGGGAGGAACAGGGAGATGGAGACCTTCCTTTTGGTGGCATCTCGGGGACATCACCCTCTGCGTCCCCCAGGAAGGAGATGTTCCCCAGGCTGGGGCAGGGATGGAAATGAGTGGAGAAGTTAACCGAGCTGGGCTGGAGGTGTCCGTGGGGCTGTGGGAGCTGTGGGCAGCTGTGGGGGCTCTGGCTGATGGTGGCTGTCATCTCCAGCGATATGGTGGCCCCGAGCTCGACCTTCTGCAAAGTCTACACCCTGACCCCCTTCCTCGCCAACAACCGGGAGAAGCGGGGGCTGGCGCTGGACGGGAAGCTCAAGCACGAGGACACCAACCTGGCCTCCAGCACGCTGTGAGCCCCTCCACCCCCCAGGGCTCCTGCCCCCCCTGCCAGCACGGGGGCAGGACCCGGCCCTGGGGGGCATCCAGCCCCTCTGCCAGGGGCGATGCTTGGGGTGGAGGAGACCCCGCAGGGGGACCTTCAGGATGACGGGGGGCCGGTCCCCATCGCTGTTCCCTCGCTGATGCCCACCTTCCCCTTCCTCCAGGTTAAGGGATGGAGCCAACAAGGAGATCCTGGGCATCATCGTCTCCTACAAGGTGAAGGTGAAGCTGGTGGTGTCACGAGGAGGGTGAGTGCCACACCTGCTCTCTTCCCTTGCTCTCCTTGGGGCTGGTCTGTGCTGCAGGGGGGGCCCGTCACCCCTTGGAGCTCCCTTGGGACTCAGCAGCACACGGGGGGACAAAAGGTGGGGGAGGCTGCGTGTCCTCGGGGGGATGGTGACTAATGTGTTGTCTCCTTTGACCCACGCCAGCCTGCTGGGAGACCTCGCCTCCAGGTAACGCCCCGCTCCCCTCAACACCCCACAGTCCCCCTGCAGCCCCCCAGTGGCACCCCCAGCCCCTCAGGGTGCTGCCACCCTGGCCCCATGCTCGTCCTTGGGGTGCCACTGCGCTGGGGACACCGTCTCACCCAGAGCCAAAGCCTGGCAGAGGTGGGTCGGGGCGGTGGGGCCGGGGATGCTGGCAGTGTTTGGACCCTGCATCCCCCTCCCCAGACCAGAGAGAGGGGCAGTGGGTGCTGCTGGGGACTGTCACCAGAGCATGGAGGTGGCTCCTTGGGGCTGAGCACCTTTGGATGTGGGGAGGAGAGTCTCTGGAGCTTTCCAGGTCTCCATCCTCACGTTGCTCCCCGACCATGGGGTCCTACAGAGAGCACGGGGCCTGCTCGCCCTCCCAGGGGGACACTTTTCTGTCTGAGCCCTGTCCTACCCTGTCCCCAGAGCAGCTCGGGCTGTCCCACCCTGCCACCCCCGTGCCTGCTGAGCACTGGGAAACTGGGTGCACCTCCTGCTATTCCCATGGCACTGCCAGCCACAGCCTAAACCCAAGGGATTTGGATCCTTTAAGCTGCTAAAAGGCAGATTTCTGCCGTGCTGCTCTCCCTCCTCGTGCCCCCCTCCATCCCAGGGGGGCCGTGCTGATCCCCCCCTGGGGTCAAGCTCAGCCCAGAGGCACGAGAGCTGCCGAGCGGCTCTGCGGGGGATAACGCGGGGTTTTAGCAGCTTTGTGGGCTCTGCAGCGGCTGAAATGGCAGGTTCTGGTCTGCCCTTGCCCCCCACCCCCAGATCTGTCCCCCCCTGCCTGCAGAGTGCAGGCAGGGCCCTGCTTTACCCCGGCATCTCTTGCAGCGACGTGGCGGTGGAGCTGCCCTTCACGCTGATGCACCCCAAACCCCGGGAGGAGCCGGCACACCGGGACAGTGAGTGCCCTGGGGCACGGGGGCAGCGTCCCTGGGGGGCACAGGGGGACACTGAGGGCGCGTGGAGGGCGATTTTTGGCTCCTGTTGAGCCTGTGGTGACCTGTTCGCTGGGTCGCAGGGTTAAAACCATGGGGGTGCCCCCATCACCCTGGGGGGGTTGCACCCACCCGGTGGGACAGTGGTGATGACCCTCGGGGGGTGTGTGGGATGGCGGTGACCACCCCCTGACTGTGCCATCCCTCTGTTCAGTTCCAGAGAATGAAGCGCCCATAGATACAAATCTGATAGAGCTCGACACAAAGTAAGAGACCGAAATACCCCCCATCCCCAGTTCCCACGTTCCGTGTGGGAATGCGGGACGTTGGCAGCGGTTGCATGGCACCCCCTAACACGCTAATGCCCGCCGTGCCACGGCACCAGCACGTGTGACTAACCCCCTGCACTGCACCTGTAATGCATGACACACGCCATCCCCCTCTCTCTTCTCTCCTCCCTCGCCCTTCCCTGCATGGCTTTCCAAAAAAACAGGAGAAACCGCAGTAAGAGCCCGCCGGGGTCGTGTGTTGGGGTGGGAGGGGATTGTCCCCGTGGTGTCCCCTGGGGCTGGTGGTGTGTCTGGGAGGTTCTGGGGTGCTTCACCCACCCAGCTCCTCCCCGCGGGGCCGTGGTCCCTCCGGAGTGGGGCAAACGCTGCCCATGGCCCTGGTGATGCTGCACCTGCCGCTCTGGGGCCCTGCATCCTTCCCTGGGGGGCTTGGGGGCTTTTTTTGGGCGCGTTGCCCAACAGTTAACAGAGCTTTGAGAACTACGGCTGTTTGCTGAAGGACAGGGGGGTTCGGGAGCCCCCTGGGCTGCTGCAACACCGTGGGGGTGCAGGTTGAAGGGGGCTCCCTGGCACCCCACCTTCCCCCGTCACGCCCCGTCCCTGTGTCCCCCCCAGTGACGACGACATCGTGTTCGAGGACTTCGCCCGCCAGCGACTCAAAGGCATGAAGGACGACAAGGAGGACGAGGAGGAGCGGACAAACTCCCCGCAGCTCAACGACAGATAAGCGAGCTCCCCCCCGCTCGCCGCCCCGCCGCAGGGACACCCCCACATTAGGCTGCTTCTCTTTTCTATAATTAATTAATTAATTTTGTTTTCTACCTGTACCGGGAGCCTACGGATCGCCCGATGGCCACAGGACCTATAACCGTCCAGCTGTGCCGTGTTGTCACTCTTCATCCAGCTGCCAGAGCTGCTGTTTCCCGTGCAGGGCACGGCTGGGGGGTGCAGGAGGCAGGGGGGCTCGCTCTGACCCCGTCCCCGTCCAGCCCCCTGCCACTTCCCATCCCAGAGCCCTTTCCTATGAGCTGCCTCTTTTACGTGTTTTATATAAGCCCAGTCTCAACACCGGTTTGCTGTGGGGAGGGGGGTTGCAGCAGAACAGGGGGGGTGTCTTTTTTGGGCAGCCTTCTCATGGGAAAGGGCACCTGTGCACCTCGGTGTCCCCTCCTCTCCCCCACGGCCAGTGCCCCCGTCCGGCCCTGCTGCATGTGATCCCTCCCTGGGATGCACGAGCCTGGCTTTGACTATGGCCCCTGCCCCAGCTGCTCCAAACCAAGCGGGTGGGCAGCACCCCCTGCTCTTCCCCCCGAGCCCAGGGGCCCTCCCAGCTGTGTCCCTTCCCACAGTGGAGCTGCCGGGGCCGGGTGAGGCCAGGGCTGGCAGCAGGGGGGCCCCTGTGGGTCTCAAATGCCTCTTCACAGCCACGGCAGGGTCGTGGCCAAACAGCCTTGTCCCCAGCAGGGTGACACCAGGGATGCTCTGCTCCTCCCGAGCTGCAAAGCCCCCCTGGTTGATGTTTTCCTCTCCCTGCATGGGGTCCAGCACCCATTTGGGGTAGGGGAGAAGGGGAGCAGGGTGTTTGCCACCCTAATCAGTATTTCAACAGATTCTTGTGCCTCGTGTTGGTGGTGTCTGGACCTCCCCCCCTGGGGTCTCAGGTCTCCCACCACCCCCTGAGAGGCCATTCCCAGTATTTATTGTGCTGTTGCAACCAGCGTTGTCATCTGAGAGCATTCTGGGGGGCAGCTCCATCCCCCCTCCCAGTCTGTGGGGTGCTGAGCTGAGCCCCCCCACCCCGTTATTTTTGGGTAAAGCTGAGGGGCAGCGTGGTACTTCTTTTTGTAAAGTGGTTCCTTTGTACTGATCATTGATACTGGCTGCTTTGGTTTCTTCACCCTGTCTGTGATGTTTCTGTGTTCTGTCGAATAAATTATTCTAGTTTATTAAACTCAGAAAAAAAAAGAAAAATTATAAAATAGTCCCAGCCTGAACACTTCTGTTGGCTCAGGACAGGGGAGCTGGCACAGGCAGGAAGTCCCACAGACATGGAATGGTTTGGGTTGAGAACGACCTTAAAGCTCCCCTCACCACGCTGATGCTGTGGGGACAGAGAGACCATCCTTAAGTTGGTCCATCTCGGGGTGTCCGTGTTTTTGCTGGAGGCAGGAGCTGTCCCAGCCTTCCCCACCAAGGACAAACCTGGCTCCAGCAAAGCCAAGGTCTCCACAGTCACACAGCTGGACTCTGACCCCCCACGGGCTGCTGGGGGCTCCACGTGGTGCATTCCTGGGAGCAAGGTCCCTACTGCCCACTGGGATTTGCAGTCACGTTTACAGGGAGGTCCCTCCTCTGTGCGTAATCCTTTCCCACAGCAGCTCTGAGTACTTCACAGTTTGGACATCTGCAGTCTCCTGTTGAATCTGGTTCAAGCTGGACAAGAAGGCTTAAATTATTTTGGGAGAAAAAAGGGAAGTTTAGATGGGAACAAACCGTGCTGTTGCTTAAGCCCCATTTCTTTTGAAAGCCAAGCAAATTCAGTTCCCTGTCCTCGCTGAGCTACCTGCATCACCACGGTGTGGGAGGGACCAGCTGCTCCACCACATCTGGCAAAAGAGGCAGTGAGGAAGCACCTCGGGAGCTGGGAAGGCTCCAATGGTCTCCTCTCCTCCTCAGAGCCCACCTCCTCCACGGCCAGACCTTCACCCTGTGGGTGTTTTCCCCAGGAAGGAAGAGCCACAGCAGCCGAGCTCTGCACCTTCTGTTTGCCAAACCAACTGCTCCAGGGGTGCTTGAGGAAAACCCACCGAGCTCCAGGATCCCACTCTTGAAACCTCATGTCTGTGTACCCACAGGCTGCCTGGGGTTGCTGGGTTCTGGGGCTGCTGCAGGTCCCCATCACGGGGCAGAAATGCCACCTCCTAAACTCAGGAGCCCAGAGGTCTTGCTGCAGGGGAAGGGCAGGCTCAGCTCTGCCACAGCAGGAAGGAACTGACTCAAGAGCAGATGGAGAGCCAGGAGGCCCTGGTCAGAACCCATTCCCCCCAGTCTGACTCTGGTACAGCTGGACTGGTTTTGCTGTGGACCCTCAGGGGTGGAAAGGAGGCTCAGTCAGACCTGCAGGAGTGCTCAGCTTCTCCGGGGCTCAACCAGGCTTTTCCCTTTGCTGCTGCTGGTGACAGACCCGTGGCTTCAGCAGGTGACAAAGCACCAACCCCCTGGCCTGGGGCAGGACACTGTGCCCCCGTTTCACATGCTGCCAGGGGACGTTCTGGGAGTGCAGTGGAAGCGCTGCCATGGCTCGTGCTGGGAGGAGGATGGAGCAGGCTCCAGCCTCAGGCACACAGCTGTTGCCATGGCACAGGTCAGTACAGCACATTCCCAGGGTAAGGTTTCCCCAGGTGCTCCTCAAGTACAGCCCTCACTGCCCCTCAGCTGCTTTCAGCCCCCCTTGTCCCAGCTGGCAGCACCCAGAGCAGCAGGGAGCCTTTTGCAGGCAGGTTTTTTCTCCCCAGGTAACACCTTGGTAACAGCGTGGGTGTTGCAGGAGTCACTGCCTGCTTCCTCAGCCCCGGAAATCACATCAGCCCCATCAAACCTAAACTGGCAGTTGGTGGGAAGAGAGCCAAAGGACACCAGTGCCTGTCTCAGGGCAGGTGCTCTCAGGGTGCAGAGGGGGAGGGTAGAGCCTGGAGCAGGCTGGGGCTAGCGAGGCTGTTCCTGTTGCTCTGGCAGGCTGCAAGCAGGCTCTGTGGTCACACTGCAACTTCCTGAGTGGAGGCTGCTGCTCGTGATACATGCACGTGACAAATGCCAACACCCCTCGGGGAGTGCAGCCTCCCCTCGGTGCTCTGGGCCTGGAAAACAGCGGGGAAATATCCCTCAGAACAGCCTGTTTCCTCAAACTCCTGGTTTTTTAATCAAATCCCAGAATGGTTTGGGTTGGAAGGGATCTTAAAGCTTGTCTTGTTCCACCCCCTGCCGTGGGCAGGGACACCTTCCACTGTATCCCAGGCTTCTCCAGGCCCCGTCCAACCTGGCCTTGGACACTCCCAGGGATGGGGCAGCCACAGCTTCTCTGGGCAACCTGTGCCAGGGCCTCACCACCCTCCCAGGGAAGAATTTCTTCCCAATATCCCATCTAACCCCACTCACTGGCAGTTTGAAGCCATTTCCCCTCGTCCTGTCCCTCCAGGCCCTTGTCCAGCCCCTCTCCTTTTTGTCCCTCTCCCTTTTTGTCTGTTTTCTTCTGCAGACATGACAGAAGCCTACGATCAAACAACAGCAGGATGCTCTCTGCCAGCAGCCACAGCCAGGACCACAGGCACAGCTCTCATCTGAAGGCTGGTACACAGGAGAACAAGTAACACAACCAAAAGTTTTACTATTAGTAAAATAGAACCTTTACAGTTGTTTCTGCACACTACAACAGTCTCCAAACGGTATGTGCAGGCAGACAGACACCCCACAGCCCACGCAGCTAGAGCAGAGGCAGGAAACACACCCCACCTCACCACAGCACCACCTACCCACACTTCCCTCAGGGCTGAACCCAGTCCCAGACGTGCAGGGAGCCGTCGGTGGCTGCAGACAGCACAGTGCGGGGTTTCTGCGGGTGCCACGTGTGCACAGTGACCAGGGCAGGGTCCCCACTGCCGCCCAGCACGTGGCCTTTGTGAACAAAGACGGGCTCTGCTTCCCTGCCAGAGCTGTCCCAGCTCTGCGTGTCATACACGTGCACAGTCCCGTCAAAACCTTGGACAAAGAGGGAGCCAGAGAGCGCAGGGATTAACTGCTTTGCTCTGGTCTGGCTGGGCTCAGGCTCACCTCCCAGCAGGAGCAAGGGCAAACAGCCCTGACTGGACTGTGAGAGCAGAGCAGCCACGCCTCCGAGGAGCACAGCTCAAGCAAACAGAGCCCGGGTCAGATCCCAAAAGCTTGTGGAGTGACCAGTGTGAATGGGCAAGGCTGTGGCCAAGAGGTAGCCCGGCTGCCCAGCTGGTGTTATCAATGCCATGCCCTGCAGCCAGGCTGTCGTGGGCACTGTCAGGGCACTGCCTGTGGTGGGCCTGGGGACTTTGATCACCCGAGAAGGCAGCAGACACCTCCCAGAACCCATCCAGACCCCTTCCGGAGTCGCTGGGGAGAGGCAGCTGCAGAGCACGATTAGCTGGATCTCCGCTGGCTCCAGGGGCAGCTCTGAGCAGCCACCCCATCACTGGGAGGTTTTAGGTGGGGTGAACTGGGCCCTGACAAAAACACAAATCAAAAAAGCCCCCAGAAAAGGAGCTGTCTGCCCAAAGCACCTACCTGAAACGGCAAGGCAGCCTTGCAGAGCGGGAGCCCAGGACACGCACAGGAACTCGGCGCCCGAGGCGGGAGAGGGGACTCTGGCTGTGGCCGAGGCCAAGGGCTCGGAGGCTTTCCTGAGGTCCGTCAGGGTGAGGAGGCCCCCGCTCGAGAGGCGAGCCACAGTCTGGGTGCCCTGGGCGGCACAGGGGGTGCCCAGGCACCAGCGGTCCCCGGCGGGCGCAGCGGGCGCGGGCACGGCCGTCAGGGCTCCCCGCGGCTGCCGCACGTCGGCCACGCAGAGCTGGCCCCGCACGCAGCACAGCAGCGCCGTCAGGCCGTCCAGGAACGCCAGCCCCGACAGCTCCTCCCGGCCCAGGCAGCCTGCGGACAGAGCCGGGCTCAGGGCTGCTGCAGGGTCCCGCTGCAGCCCCACCCGGGGAGCCAGCAGGGTGTACAGCTCACAGCCCACAGCAGGCCAAGGGGATGCTCCAAGGGCTGGAGCCCCTCTGCTCTGGAGCCAGGCTGGGAGAGCTGGGGGGGATCACCTGGAGGTGAGAAGGCTCCAGGGAGAGCTGAGAGCCCCATGCAGGGCCTAAAGGGGCTCCAGGAGAGTTGGAGAGGGGACAAGGGATGGAGGGACAGGACACAGGGAATGGCTTCCCACTGCCAGAGGGCAGGGATAGATGGGATATTGGGAAGGAATTTTTGGCCGTGTGGGTAGTGAGGCCCAGGCACAGGTTGCCCAGAGAAGCTGTGGCTGCCCCTGGATCCCTGCAAGTTGGACAGGGCTTGGAGCAACCTGTTCTAGTGGAAGGTGCCCCTGCCCATGGAACCCTCTGGCACACACCTGAAGGTACCTGCTCAGGGGAATGTTTGCTACTCGAGCTTGCTTTCCCAACCCTCCCAGCTCCAAACGATCAGACATTGGGCTTGCTTTGAATACCTGCTGTGTAGACATTTTTCCTCAGCTCCACCTCTGTGATTTGGACGCTGTCCAGCGTTGAGCCATGAAGGACCCAGGGGGCTCCGGCTGAAATGGTGGCAATTTTTGCCCAGGGCTGCCC